TGGAGAGGGGAAGCGGCGCGCGCTGCGGCGGCCCCGTCACGTCTAGACGTTCTGCGTATGCTTGGTAGCTCCGTTGAGGCGAGTGCGTTGCGCAGCCGATATGCCGAAGGGGTCTCCGCGACCCTGGCGCAACTGGAAGGAGCAAGCCTCGATTGGGACTCCGTCGCCGATGTCATGCGCCATGAAGCTCTCAAGGTGGTAGGCACCGTGCCCGCCAGGAGTGTTCGTCCCTGGTTCCGGGGCAAGGAACGCGAGCTCCAGAACTTGGAATCTGCCGTGCACAGAGTGGAGTTGCAACTTCGCACTGCCAGAGCCACACAGCCTGAAACGGTCCCGGATCTTCTTGAGGAGCGCCGGTCTGCCAGTAAGCACCTTCGAGGCGTCAAGCGTACTTGGGAGGCCATATGGTGGGAGGATCTTGCCAGCAAGGCAGAAAGGGCGGGAGAGGAAGGAGACGACTTCTCCTTCTGGCAGGTCTGCAGGTCCTTGGGATTCCAAGAGTCATACCGGCGCCAGACAGGAGCTCGCGCGACGACAGAGAGGCTTGGAAGGACTTCCTTTCAAGCATCCAATCAGGTAGAGGAGAAGTGAGTGAAGAGGTCTGGCAGTATATCCCGGAGGCTAGCAGTGTGGAGGGCTGGCTGGCAGAGCCTCCTACCCGCAAGGAGTTCAACACGGCGCTCTCCCGTATGAAGACGGGCAAGCGGGGTGGATGGGATGACATCACTGCTGAGCTCATCAAATTCGGCGGCGAGCCCCTCCAGTCAACAGTCTTCCAAATCATTACGGACATGTGGCGTGAAGCTGCGGAGGCCGGCCCTGGCCTAGAAGCGGACACTTGGTGCAGTAGCGTCAAGGAGGGCGTCTGTATCCCCATGTTCAAGAACAAAGGCGACCGCGCTTGTAAGGACAACTATAGGAACTTGGTCATGCTGTCCGTTGCTGCCAAGCTCGTCGCCCGTATCGTAGCGTCGCGCCTCTCCGCCTGGATAGACGTGTCTCTCTCGGAACAGCAAAATGGCTTTTTTTTCTCCAGAGGTATCGACGATGCGCACCAGCTGGTGCGTCGCATCCTTGAGGAAGTCGTCGTCGCTGAGGGCGATTCCCGTGTGTGCGTCACGTCTTTTGACATAGTGCGCACTTACACCCGTGTCTGTAGAGATGCGCTGTGGTGTCTTCTGTCCCGTCTTGGTGCCCCACCTGCCTTCGTTCAGGTCCTCAAAGCCCTACATGAACACACGCGTTTCCGCGTGTTCGTACATAACGGCTATTCTTCCCCCTGGCTTACAGACCGGGGCCTGCGGGAGGGGTGTCCGTCTTCCCCGGTCCTCTTCAACATCTTCCATGACGCTGTCCTCATTACCTTCAGGACACGGAGAGCGGAACGTGCTCTCGTGCTCGGCCTCTCACCAGGTCTACCTTGGCGGTTCAAAGTGGATGGCCACCTCACTAGGCGCCCAGACAACAAGCTGTCTTCGCGGGGCGCACGTGACTGCGTCCTGGGGGACGTCGAGTACGCAGATGATAGTCTTATCGTCGCTCAGGTCGATGAAGCCTCATCGGCAGAAAGCACATTCATCGACTCTCTGAGGGACTGGGGTCAAGAGGAGCATCCGGGTAAAAGGGAACGCTTGGTTGTGTGTCCCAGGGGTCGGGGAGCCATGGAGGTATTGGAAGAATTCGAATGCCGCACCTTGAAGCACCTGGGCACCCTGCTCAGTGACAAGGCTGACCTCTGGCCCGAAACCAAAAGAAGGTTCCAAGCAGGCTTCTTTGCAGTGCGCAGAGTGGCCAAGCTTTGGTCTCTCGGCTCCCATAGAGGCCGGGGCTCAACGGGAGGTCTTTCCACGTGTAGGAAACTCAAAGTAATGCGCGCAGTCATTGAGGGCACTGTCCTGGCCTGCGGTAAGACGCGCGTCTGGTCTTCTGCTCAGGAGCGTAAGATCCAACAGGTGCTGTCTCGGGCCGTCCGTAGGTCGTTGGGTCTGGACGTCTTCAACATGCGAGAATACGGATACTCCGACGAGGGCTTACTGCGTATGGTTCACTGGGATCCTTTCCCCCTCTTGCTTCATCGTCAGGTGTTACATTGGGCCGGGCACGTCGCTCGCATGCCTGTCTCTCGCTTGCCCAAGATTGCGCTCTTTGGTTGGCCGGTCGGTCTCGAACGCCACAGCAGTGGTCGCTCCACGTACCCCATGTGGGTCAAATGGCTGCTCCTGAAGTATGGCATTTCCACGATGGACTGGTTTCGCCTCGCTCAGAAGCCTACGGGTCAATGGCTTAAACTCATCCGAGCAAAACTGCCACGCACCTCCCTGCCCAAGGACAAGGTCGCCGCGCTCAACGCGTGGAAGCCCGGCCAACCTTTGCTGTGGCAGGAAGGATGCGCCCCCCCTCACGGAGCCGCGCGCCTCATCCCGGAAGAGACTCTCGAGGGTCTGCCGCCCAATGTCGACCTGGCTCAGGGCATTTCCGGGGATTGGCCTTGCCCAGTTTGTGACGTCAAAACTATCACAGCTCGAGGCCTGCAGGTCCACTACGAGGCCCACCATGCAGTACAGGACGAGAACGTCACCACGACTGAAAAGTCGCGCTGCTCTCTCTGCGGGCACGTCTTCGTCACAGAAGTAGACGTAAAACGGCACGTGTGTCCCACCAAACCACACTCGCTCGAAGCACTGGACGCTCTGTGGGCACTCCCAGCCTCGCCAGAGATTCCCAATTTTGTCGGTCGCTCGGTAACGGGGTGGGAGCTGAACACAGATGGTTCTGGCGCGTCGGATGAGGGCCCGCATGCAGGCTGGGGGATCGCGGTGTGGGTAGAGGGAGTGCGCTCCGTACTGCCAGAGTTCGAGCTTTTCGGTCCAGTCCCCTTGCAGTCATGGGAGCCTCGTTGGATGGGAGCAGACGTTGCGTCCAACAACGTTGGGGAACTCACCGCCATGCTTGAGGCTCTGCTCTGGCTGGAACAGGAGGCGCCAGGCGATGCTGGCTTGCCTGCCCGCATTCGCTTTGACTCCACTTATGCACACAGTATCATCACTGGTGCTTATCGCCCCCATGTCAATCTCAAGTTGGCTTCTGAAGCCAAAAAGGTCTTTGAGCGTGTGTCCCAACTACGACCACTTGCTTTCGAAAAAGTCAAGGGCCACTCTGGCGATCCTGGAAACGATCATGCAGACTACCTCGCTGGCTTGGGGTCGAAAGGGCAACAGACACGTCAATCGTCAAGATGGCATATTCCGGTAGGAAGCCCGGCGCCGGTGCAGCCTTGGCAAGTCGACTGGTGTTGGAGGTGCGGCAAAGTCTTCAGCGGGCCCAGCCACGCTAGACAGCTCGCCGGACACGAAGGTCAATGCCACGTTCCTAGCGTACCGCCACCGCACATTCCGTGCCGGAAGGGATGCGGGCGCCAGTTCGAGTGGCGATTCCCCAGCGGGAGACGAAAGCAGGCTCATCACGCCCGAGAATACCGACACATGCATGAGAAACTCTGTTCCGGTGACGAACGAGGGTCACGCACATGCCCCTTCTGCAACAAGGTATACCCGGAGGGGACTTCGGATGAAACCATATTGCGACATCGGGACTCCTGTTCCAGCAGGCCACGCGAGGCCGCGTCCTCGCACTCGACTTGGAAGTGCCCTAAGTGTTCTTGCCGGTTCTCTCCGACGCAACAGGTACATCACGAGGCTACCTGTCGAGGATCCGCCCGGGAGAACAAATCTTGCCTGTCATGCAGCGCCTCTTTTCAAACTAGCGGAGTCAGGGAAAAACATGAGGCGGGGTGTCGCGGTCCGGGACAGGCCAACTTCATCTGCCGTGGCTGCGGTCGTGTCTACAGCACCATTGGCGCCCGCGTTACGCACGAGAACCGTTGCGCGAGGTAATTTCGTTCCTCGTTCCCCTTTGCCGTGTTCGGAGCCGGTCCTGCTTGCAGGAGACCGCTTCGGGCACGGTGCTCCTCCTTGCTTGGGTGAAGGCTCCCCTTTGGGCAGTGGTCCTGCTTGCAGGAGACCGTTGGGCGCTTGCACCAGCCTCCCCCCTTGCGTTTGCCCCTCCGCCTTCTTTGCTCTCCCGGTCTTCGCCCGCCCCTTCCGTCGGCCTTGGCGCGTGCCTGCTTCTCCTCTCGTGGGTCTGTCCGTGTAGGCGGTCTTCCTTCGTTTGTCCCGTCGTGGCTGGTCCTGCTTGCAGGAGACCGCCCGGCTTCGTGCCCCGCCGGGGCGCTGGCTCCCTTCGGGGCTGTGGTCCTGCTCGCAGGAGACCACTGGGTGCTTGCACCAGCCCGCCCTGGCCCACGGCCACTTGCTGTTCTGTCGGCCTTTGGGCCCCTCTGTTTCCCTTTTTTGATGCTCGTCCGGTTCTTTACCGTCCGTGCGCTCCGCTGGCTTGCCCGTGCCTGCTGGGTTTTCGTGTCTCCGCTTGCTCTGTTGTTTTCGTTTTCTCTTTCTTCCTCCCCCCGTTTTTTTTTTATTGTGGGAAATGCCAGCTCGCAGTTTCACGTTCCCGCCCGGTTCTCGCTGCTAGATTTCTGGCTCTCCGCCCGGCCTACTTTGACTCTCCTCGCTCTGTCTTGCCCCTCGCTATGCCAGCCCCTCCTCCGATGTCCATGGAGGAGCGCGTCTCCAAGTTGGAGGAAAAGGTGTCGGACCTCGAGAGTACTTCCAGGATCCGGGGCACAGGTTTGGTGGCGCTGGCGGCAGCTGCCGAAGACATCGCGAAGTCCGAGGCGAAGGAATTCTGGAAGCTCAAATCCGCCTTGCCCGACCTCCTGTGGAGGGACCTCGAGGAACCGTTGCGACGCGGGATCTCCGACAGCAGTAAGGTGACCGCCATCTTCGCTGAGCTGGTCCAGTGCTTGCGTGCCCACGACGCCCTGGTGGGAGTCTTTCCTGCCGGAGGTGCGTGGGGACGAGAGAGGTCGATTGATATCCGCTTTCGTCCTGGCATGCCGGGGCTGCGGATTCATCATTTGATCAAGTCCGAGATTGCTCCGGTGCTGAAGGCGCTTGACCCCCCGGCAGCGGTTGCCATTTGGGTGCCGCTGTCGGGGGGGGAGATGAAGCGGAGGGAGCGGAAACGCGCCCGCGCCGACTCCACGGCCCCGGCGGCGACGGCTAAGAGCCGCGCCGGGAACCCAGGCAAAGGCCAGGGCAAGAAGAGCCGGCGCTGAGGCGCCACGGTGCGGATCCGTTTTCCCGGCCCGTTTTTGCAGACCTTCTGGCCGCCCTTTTTCCTTCTTTGCCTTTTAAGTGATACCAAGTACTATCTCGAGCAAAATAAGGTGCGGCTCGTCTTGCCAGGCAGATGAACTTGATGGGCGGTTCATTGAGTCTCATTCCCGGTGATCCGACGGTAGGTTGCCTCTTCTTTGCCTCCTTGGTGCTGTTCCTCTCCGTGGTCACTTGCCTCGTCGCTTCGTTTTGGTGATTCTGCGTGGCTCCCTCCTTTTTGTTTTTTCTTTTCCGTCCTTTTTCCTGGTTTTTGTTGGTTTGTTGTGTCCTTTTGATTTCTGACTGGCCCCAGTATTTTCTGCGCGGAGCGGTTGTGTGTATTTTGCTTCAGGCACCAACCGGGGGGTCTTCATAGGCCGTAACCCACCACCTCGACCTCGACCTCGACGTGCCCAATCTTGGTGCCTGTGGTGTCTTCTGTCCCGTCTTGGTGCCCCACCTGCCTTCGTTCAGGTCCTCAAAGCCCTACATGAACACACGCGTTTCCGCGTGTTCGTACATAACGGCTATTCTTCCCCCTGGCTTACAGACCGGGGCCTGCGGGAGGGGTGTCCGTCTTCCCCGGTCCTCTTCAACATCTTCCATGACGCTGTCCTCATCACCTTCAGGACACGGAGAGCGGAACGTGCTCTCGTGCTCGGCCTCTCACCAGGTCTACCTTGGCGGTTCAAAGTGGATGGCCACCTCACTAGGCGCCCAGACAACAAGCTGTCTTCGCGGGGCGCACGTGACTGCGTCCTGGGGGACGTCGAGTACGCAGATGATAGTCTTATCGTCGCTCAGGTCGATGAAGCCTCATCGGCAGAAAGTACATTCATCGACTCTCTGAGGGACTGGGGTCAAGAGGAGCATCCGGGTAAAAGGGAACGCTTGGTAGTATGTCCCAGGGGTCGGGGAGCCATGGAGGTATTGGAAGAGTTCGAATGCCGCACCTTGAAGCACCTGGGCACCCTGCTCAGTGACAAGGCTGACCTCTGGCCCGAAACCAAAAGAAGGTTCCAAGCAGGCTTCTTTGCAGTGCGCAGAGTGGCCAAGCTTTGGTCTCTCGGCTCCCATAGAGGCCGGGGCTCAACGGGAGGTCTTTCCACGTGTAGGAAACTCAAAGTAATGCGCGCAGTCATTGAGGGCACTGTCCTGGCCTGCGGTAAGACGCGCATCTGGTCTTCTGCTCAGGAGCGTAAGATCCAACAGGTGCTGTCTCGGGCCGTCCGTAGGTCGTTGGGTCTGGACGTCTTCAACATGCGAGAATACGGATACTCCGACGAGGGCTTACTGCGTATGGTTCACTGGGATCCTTTCCCCCTCTTGCTTCATCGTCAGGTGTTACATTGGACCGGGCACGTCGCTCGCATGCCTGTCTCTCGCTTGCCCAAGATTGCGCTCTTTGGTTGGCCGGTCGGTCTCGAACGCCACAGCAGCGGTCGTTCCACGTACCCCATGTGGGTCAAATGGCTGCTCCTGAAGTATGGCATTTCCACGATGGACTGGTTTCGCCTCGCTCAGAAGCCTACGGGTCAATGGCTTAAACTCGTCCGAGCAAAACTGCCACGCACCTCCCTGCCCAAGGACAAGGTCGCCGCGCTCAACGCGTGGAAGCCCGGCCAGCCTTTGCTGTGGCAGGAAGGATGCGCCCCCCCTCACGGAGCCGCGCGCTTCATCCCGGAAGAGACACTCGAGGGTCTGCCGCCCAATGTCGACCTGGCTCAGGACATTTCCGGGGAATGGCCTTGCCCAGTTTGTGACGTCAAAACTATCACAGCTCGAGGCCTGCAGGTCCACTACGAGGCCCACCATGCAGTACAGGACGAGAACGTCACCGCGATTGAAAAGTCGCGCTGCTCTCTCTGTGGGCACGTCTTCGTCACAGAAGTCGACGTAAAACGGCACGTGTGTCCCACCAAACCACACTCGCTCGACGCACTGGACACTCTGTGGGCACTCCCAGCCTCGCCAGAGATGCCCAACTTTGTCGGTCGCTCGGTAACGGGATGGGAGCTGAACACAGATGGTTCTGGCGCGTCGGATGAGGGCCCGCATGCAGGCTGGGGGATTGCGGTGTGGGTAGAGGGAGTGCGCTCCGTACTGCCAGAGTTCGAGCTTTTCGGTCCAGTCCCCTTGCAGTCATGGGAGCCTCGTTGGATGGGAGCAGACATTGCGTCCAACAACGTTGGGGAACTCACCGCCATGCTTGAGGCTCTGCTCTGGCTGGAACAGGAGGCGCCAGGCGATGCTGGCTTGCCTGCCCGCATTCGCTTTGACTCCACTTATGCACACAGTATCATCACTGGTGCTTATCGCCCCCATGTCAATCTCAAGTTGGCTTCTGAAGCCAAAAAGGTCTTTGAGCGTGTGTCCCAACTATGACCACTTGCTTTCGAAAAAGTCAAGGGCCACTCTGGCGATCCTGGAAACGATCATGCAGACTACCTCGCTGGCTTGGGGTCGAAAGGGCAACAGACACGTCAATCGTCGAGATGGCTTATTCCGGTAGGAAGCCCGGCGCCGGTGCCAGCAAGTCGACTGGTGTTGGAGGTGCGGCAAAGTCTTCAGCGGGCCCAGCCACGCCAGACAGCTCGCCGGACACGAAGGTCAATGCCACGTTCCTAGCGTACCGCCACCGCACATTCCATCCGGAAGGGATGCGGGCGCCAGTTCGAGTGGCGATTCCCCCCGGGAGACGAAGCAGGCTCATCACGCCCGAGAATACCGACACATGCATGAGAAACTCTGTTCCGGTGACGAACGAGGGTCACGCACATGCCCCTTCTGCAACAAGGTGTACCCGGAGGGGACTTCGGATGAAACCATATTGCGACATCGTGACTCCTGTTCCAGCAGGCCACGCGAGGCCGCGTCCTCGCACTCGACTTGGAAGTGCCCTAAGTGTTCTTGCCGGTTCTCTCCGACGCAACAGGTACATCACGAGGCTACCTGTCGAGGATCCGCCCGGGAGAACAAATCTTGCCTGTCATGTAGTGCCTCTTTTCAAACTAGCGGAGTCAGGGAAAAACATGAGGCGGGGTGTCGCGGTCCGGGACAGGCCAACTTCATCTGCCGTGGCTGCGGTCGTGTCTACAGCACCATTGGCGCCGAGAACCGTTGCGCGAGGTAATTTCGTTCCTCGTTCCCCTTTGCCGTGTTCGGAGCCGGTCCTGCTTGCAGGAGACCGCTTCGGGCACGGTGCTCCTCCTTGCTTGGGTGAAGGCTCCCCTTTGGGCAGTGGTCCTGCTTGCAGGAGACCGTTGGGTGCTTGCACCAGCCTCCCCCCTTGCTGGCCGTTGCTTCGTTTGCCCCTCCGCCTTCTTTGCTCTCCCAGTCTTCGCCCGCCCCTTCCGTCGGCCTTGGCGCGTGCCTGCTTCTCCTCTCGTGGGTCTGTCCGTGTAGGTGGTCTTCCTTCGTTTGTCCCGTCGTGGCTGGTCCTGCTTGCAGGAGACCGCCCGGCTTCGTGCCCCCGCCGGGGCGCTGGCTCCCTTCGGGGCTGTGGTCCTGCTCGCAGGAGACCACTGGGTGCTTGCACCAGCCCGCCCTGGCCCACGGTCACTTGCTGTTCTGTCGGCCTTTGGGCCCCTCTGTTTCCCTTTTTTTGATGCTCGTCCGTTTCTTTACCGTCCGTGCGCTCCGCTGGCTTGCCCGTGCCTGCTGGGTTTTCGTGTCTCCGCTTGCTCTGTTGTTTTCGTTTTCTCTTTCTTTCTCCCCACGTTTTTTTATTTCTTGTGGGAAATGCCTGCTCGCAGTTTCATGTTCCCGCCCGGTTCTCGCTGCTAGATTTCTGGCTCTCCGCCCGGCCTACTTTGACTCTCCTCGCTCTGTCTTGCCCCTCGCTATGCCGGCCCCTCCTCCGATGTCCATGGAGGAGCGCGTCTCCAAATTGGAGGAAAAGGTGTCGGACCTCGAGAGTACTTCCAGGATCCGGGGCACAGGTTTGGTGGCGCTGGCGGCAGCTGCCGAGGACATCGCGAAGTCCGAGGCGAAGGAATTCTGGAAGCTCAAATCCGCCTTGCCCGACCTCCTGTGGAGGGACCTCGAGGAACCGTTGCGACGCGGGATCTCCGACAGCAGTAAGGTGACCGCCATCTTCGCTGAGCTGGTCCAGTGCTTGCGTGCCCACGACGCCCTGGTGGGAGTCTTTCCTGCCGGAGGTGCGTGGGGACGAGAGAGGTCGATTGATATCCGCTTTCGTCCTGGCATGCCGGGGCTGCGGATTCATCATTTGATCAAGTCCGAGATTGCTCCGGTGCTGAAGGCGCTTGACCCCCCGGCAGCGGTTGCCATTTGGGTGCCGCTGTCGGGGGGGGAGATGAAGCGGAGGGAGCGGAAACGCGCCCGCGCCGACTCCACGGCCCCGGCGGCGACGGCTAAGAGCCGCGCCGGGAACCCAGGCAAAGGCCAGGGCAAGAAGAGCCGGCGCTGAGGCGCCACGGTGCGGATCCGTCTACGACCTTCTGGCCGCCCTTTTTCCTTCTTTGCCTTTTAAGTGATACCAAGTACTATCTCGAGCAAACTAAGGTGCGGCCCGTCTTGCCAGGCAGATGAACTTGATGGGCGGTTCATTGAGTCTCATTCCCGGTGATCCGACGGTAGGTTGTCTCTTCTTTGCCTCCTTGGCGCTGTTCCTCTTCGCGGTCACTTGCCTCGTCGCTTCGTTTTGGTGATTCTGCGTGGCTCCCTCCTTTTTGTTTTTTCTTTTCCGTCCTTTTTCCCGGTTTTTGTTGATTTGTTTTGTCCTTTTGATTTCTGACTGGCCCCAGTATTTTCTGCGCGGAGCGGTTGTGTGTATTTTGATTCAGGCACCAACCGGGGGGTCTTCATAGGCCGTAACCCACCACCTCGACCTCGACCTCGACGTGCCCAATGGCCTGTCCGCAATTTCCAAAGTTCCTGTCGCTGGGTGGGGTCAGATCTTGGCTTAGGGCACTGATGCTGGCACGCGCGAGACACATTGGAAGAATGACTGAAAAGAACGACTTTTTTTTTCCTTTCTTTTCTCGTCGGGCCCCTTGGACGCTTGCCGCGGGTTGCTTGGCGTGCGTGTGGGTTTCCTTTTTTCTGTGTTGTTTCCTTGTTTTGTCTTTTCCTTTCTTACTGAACTCATGAAGAGATGAAATGAAGCAGCCAGCTGGCGCATTGATACTCCCTCTCATTGTGCCATCAGTGGACCATCGGCCGCCAACCGATGGTCGCGCGTGCTCCAAACCTCCGCGTGGTGCGCCCTGGAAACTCACCCCACATGCGAGGTAATCATCGGATCCGGGTCACAAGGGGAGGACATGCAGACAATTAGCAACAGAGATGAGGATGGAATCGAACCAAGGAACATCGCACGCGGAAAAGTCACAAACATCAGGAAAAGACTGACACAATCAGGAAATACATAGGGTGAGGCAAACGTCCCTCCTCTTAATAGAGGTGGTTGGTGTAGACCGACCGACGAGGAGCAACGGGGTAGATACCGGTTGAACCTGGACTTGGGAAGATGGCCTCTTGAGGACTCGACGGCCGTACCACTTCCTCTCCGGGCTTCAGCCCTACTCCGGGTAGAGGCGGGTGGGCTCCGACTCTCCGAACTAATTGAGGAGAATGCCGATGGCAGGAATTGAGCAGACATAGCCGAATCAACTCACGTGATAGACAACAATGAACTCCGCCCCATAGAACACCATCATGCGCACATCGGCTGCCGTGTAGAAGCTCAAGCACAAATGGCAGGCCGAGCCGGTAGAAAACGCCGCCGAAAAGCGGCCACATACTGGGCCACCCTCGCAGCACAACTACTGACGGGTAGCACACATGGGCAAAGCAGAAACGCGGTACTCCGGAAAGCCGACAAATTACGCAAACATAGACGAGTGCAATGGGGAAAGTTCTTAAAGCGGCAAAGACAGACAAGACGAACTCACCATGACATACGGATCGGCACATGGAACACTCGCCGACTGGGCGCTGTGCACGGGCGGGTGGACGTCGCGACCAAACTTCGGCACATGGCAGAGGTCTGGCAGTTGCGAAAATGGGACGCAGCGCTACTACAAGATGTAACGCTGGGTGAAAGGGGACGAATGACGTTTAGCACAAAGAAGGAAACATGGACGATCATACACAGGGGAAAAGTGGCAATAGCACTGGGAACAAAGCTCACAATGGCATGGGAACGCGGAGGCTGCGTAGTTCATACAGACGGAATGGAAGGGACGTGTCGAGTAATCAGTGTACAAATCCCGTGCACCAACAAACGGGGGGTATCACTGATATCAGTCTATGTACCGAGTAGCGAGGCAAACCGGGAAACCGTAGCGGCAGTCTATGACAAACTCGGGAGGGTTCCACACTCTCATTGGCGGAGATTTCAACGGGGAGGTCGGAAGCCGCACAAATGGAGAGGAACAGGCGCTGGGACCACACGGACACGGCAGATGCAATGAAAAAGGACGCATGATGTTGGACAGCTGTCAGGCAGAAAACCTGGTGGTGACAAACACATGGACAAGCCAGAAGAACAAGACTACGTGGAGGCACCCACGATGGAAAAGCGGACACCTGATCGATTACATTCTGGTGGAAAGACCGCAACTCAACAACGTGAAGAGGGTGCTCACACTGCACGAAGAAGTAGCCTGGACCGGCGGGTTGACCGGATGGGGGGAATATACTGGCCACAATCCCGTCGAGATCAGCTTCAAAATTGCGCCGCCACAGGGGATGACTGCCCCCGCGCAACGCGCAAAGCGCTGGGCATGGGTAGCCGGAAGAGGTGATGAACCAGCCGCCAAAAGACTACGCGCGCAGTACGCAGAAGAAATCAGAGCGCAGCTCACAGACAGGACCAGCCCCATGCACTGGGGCGACATCATAAACGTCACCACAGCGGCCGCCCGAAAAGTGTTTGGCCCGGTCGAGCCCAAACCCCCACGGCCATGGCTAGACGGTAAAGAGGCGGAACTACGCCGGCTCAGTTTCGCGGTGGCCGCGGCCAAAGCGGCCAGAGACAAAGCTGAGGAATGGGCCTACAGGCAGGAGGAAGATGAGGAAGCCGCGGACTTTTGCGCGCAGGCCTGGAGACTGGTTCAGGCGGCCACGCGACGCAAACGACGCCAGCTAAGAGAGTGGGAGGACACATGGTGGAATCAGTTGAGCAATCAGGCCGAGACTGCAGCGGCTAGAAACGACAGCCGGGCACTTTACGACCTGATTAGACAATTGCGGGGGAGGGCGGTGACTCGAGGCCAGCACGGCGGCACACCGCAGCCGGACAACCCGGTTATGGAAGCCCAGGCGTGGAAGGAGCACTTTCGCCGCATACAGGACGGCACACAACCGGTACACGACCGTATCTGGGCCAACGTCGTCGAGCGAGCGGACCGAGCCACATGGATGGACGAAAAGCCGAACCAAGCGGAAATCCAAAAAGCCATAAAAACAATGAAGCTCGGCAAGGCCCCGGGCATTGATGGCGTTACGGTGGAGGCACTACGATGGGCGCCAGATGAAATGCACCATCAGCTATGTACTATCATACAAACAATGTGGATGGACGCGACCAGCACGCAACTCGGACAAGAGGCTCACGACTGGCCAGAGGCATGGAAGACGGCCATTATCGTGCCACTATGGAAACAGAAGCAACCTCGATCAGACAAGAACAACTGGAGGGGAGTTACGCTCCTCAGCGTGGGGGCAAAAGTGGTGGCGCGCATCGTCGCCAACCGGCTTCAGACACACACGGAAGAGTTCATGGACGAGCGTCAACAAGGATTTCGGCGCAATCGCGGCGTTGATGACGTTCTGCAAGTTTCCAGACGCATCACTGAGGAGGTGGTGTCATCTGGCCCGACCGAGCCGGTAATCGTAACACTCTACGATATAGAAAAGGCATACCCCCGAGTGAACCGACTGGCACTCTGGACATTGCTCGACAAATGGGGAGCTGGAACAGGCTTTATCCGCGTGTGTCAGGCCCTACACGACTACACGTCGTTTCGCGTGCAGAGCGGCGCTGTCCTATCAGATGGGTATACTGCGGGACGGGGATTAAAGGAGGGCTGCCCGAGCAGCCCTCCTCTTTTCAACGTGTATCACGCGGCAGTGATGGCGGATTACAGGACCCGTCGCAGCAGAGCCGCCGAGGAAACAGGCGCGCAACCTGGGATACAGTGGAAGACCAAGATCACAGGACAATTTACCAAGCGACAGGCTTGTCTAAACAGCAACCGTCAGATCCGACAGGATATCTTGGGCGACATCCAGTTTGCAGATGACACGGCGACGTTCGCCCAGGAAAGCGAGGCGGTCGCGGCGGACAGCATGCTGGAAACGACCTTCACGGACTGGGGCGAAAAGCTGAACCGCAACAAAACGGAAACCTTGCGCATCGTCCCAGCCGCACGCCCAGAAAAACGAGGACGCGATGCGGACTTGCCCGACACAGTCCGGCACGTAGGAGGCTACCTGTCAGCCACTGCTACGCAATGGAAGGACACCATTCATCGGGGTAGCATGGCCATGCAACGGGCCAGAGCAGTCGCCAAGGCGTGGAGCCTCGGAAGCTCCAAGGGCAGGGGCGCTACCAGCGGGATACGGTTCGCAACCAGACTCAAGGTGATGCACAGCATCATCGTGCCGACCCTCACTGCTTTTGGCAGGTCTCGGGCCTGGACCCGGGCCCAAGTTGAGCACTTGCAAACCAGACAAAATTACGCGATCCAAAGGGCGTTGGGACTGGACCGTATGGCCATGCATGAGTATCATGTGCGGAATCAGGACCTACACGCCATGACGCAATGGGAACCCATCGAGAAGGTGTTGGCCAGACAAACCTTGCGATGGATGGGCCATGTAGCACGAATGCCGACGCACAGACTACCTAAGATCGCCATGTGGGGGCATTGGCAGGACGCAGAGCCGGGTCAGTTCGGACCCACGCGACAGCAGAAGTGGTTACAGACGGTGCTGAAACTGGCTGACATACCGGAGCTCGACTGGTTCCGACTGGCACAGGTTAGACCGACGTGGGACGCGCTCATCAAGCGCGGACTTCCGCGGCCAGTTCTAAAGCCGCATCAAAAGAGAGCCATCAACGCTTGGCGACCTGGACGACCGCCCCCCCTACCGACGCCGCCGAGACTCAGGTTGCGCAGAACGGTGTGGACAAAGCGATCCAGTCAACTGGCGCAAGGGGAATGCCCAGTGTGTAATCACCAAGCGGTCGACGTCCGTCACCTTCGGAGCCATTATGACAGTCAACACGCAGTGTTCGACCCCACAAAGACCACCATGCAAGAACACGTCTGCAAAGAGTGCAAGGGCCGCTTCCCGAACGCCTACGCCAAGACGCGACATCAGTGCAGGGGACCCGCAATGGTACAAGACCGGCTACAGCACATCGCGCCAGACATCCCTGAACCGCCTACTTGGCAC